GACTATGGTTTTTATTACATACAAAAACTATCTATATCAATAGTTCTAAAGGAATGTTCTTTCTAATAATTGTGCACCGATCATGATATCCTACGAAAGTGTTATAAATATCATTTCAAAAAAAAAACTGTACTATATTAGTATTTTATAGAAACTATGGGATATTTATGTATGATAAGATAACATATCAGATATCTAATAAGCTACTTGACTGAAACATGTTTAGTGAAAGGACACTTGAAGTTGCTTTCGAGATATTGAGCTAGATTTCATACATAGTATTTTGCAACATCTATTAAATGAATTTTAGATATGTTGATGATCAAGCCATAAATCTCACGTTTGTCCTTATTTTCTATTTTTTTAATATATTACTTTTCAACATAAGATCTCATTCAGTTTCTCTTTGAGATAAGAAGTTTAGGTTTCTTTAAAAAAATTGTACACAGAACTTTGCTTTTACACAGGCAATCTGTTTCATCACAGGATTGAAAATGTTACAGGAAATTTCTAGAGGGAAATACAGAATGCAAGCAAAATATAGGACAACGGGATTTACCCTGTTTCTCCCTTCCCTAATTGTATAGTCTACTTTTACTAATAGATCATTCTAGTTCATTTAGTAAGAAAGTTATTAATCTTGAAATGTCTGTCATATTTAAAAGCAAATTAATCATTAATATTTTAATCATAGAAAATGAAATTGTGAACTAACCGTAACTTAAGTAATCACTAAACATTTCTAAATCATTCTCGAATTATTTTATGATGAATTAGATATCTGATACAATAATTACGTATAACCATTGTTATGCATTAATTCCATTTTTTAAAAGGAAAGAGTCCTATTTAGGAAATAACTAACACTGTCTACGAACTATAGTCTTATAAAAATTCTTCTCTTTTGTTTTAAGAATTATTAAGATGGAAAATTAATGAAAGATTGATAAAGATATAGTACAATAAGAAGTCAAAGAACAGCAATTTTTCAACTGTAATGTTTATCATATTTCTAAAGTAATTTAGAAATGCGAACTAATTGCTTGAATTACAGTTAGTTCATCAATTCATTTTTAATAATTAATTTACTATTAAATATCATAGACATTTGAATACTAATAGTAGTCTTACTAAATGAAATAAAGAGATCAGCTTATAGTCGTTTGGAAGAGCACGAGTCAAGACTTATGGTCAGGATTGTTAATATTTTTCAGAGATCGTGCGGCTAAAAATTCCGCAGAAAGTGCTTTTATTCTCGAAGGAGAAGGAAGGAAATGAAACTCATCGTGCCTCGACTTCTTCCGTGGAGGATTGTCACAATGCTATTGACTTCGTCTATTTTTATTACACTTTTTATCAGAAAAAGACAAAATATTGTTTCAAGATACATTTTCTGGTCAAAGTTACTACGAAGCTATAAAAGAGTTTTCGTAGAAAGTCAGACATTTGAGAGGGAGAGAAGGTTTATTTTAATTATCCTGTAGAATCGGACGGGCTATTGAGGCATAAAAAAAACTTTCTTGATTTGACGAAAATTTTTATTTATATCATAGGAAAATAAATCTAATATAATTTTTAGTTACAATGGCACCTGAAGTATTTGCTTATAATCAATATGCTGAACAATGTGATATATATTCATGGTCAATTGTTTTCTGGCAATTAATCTCAAAAAAATTATTACCTTATGGAGGTGAAGGCAAAGGTTTGTTTATATATATATAAAATATATTTGATTTTAATTTTACTATATAAATAAATAATTTTCATAGGTTTCTTATTATCTGTTGTACAAAATAAACTTCGTCCACCTAAATTTAATCATTGTCCAGAATTATTTATTGCTTTATTGTATCGTTCATGGCATTCAGATCCAAATGAACGACCAACATTATTATTTATAAAAAAAGTTCTTCGATTAATATTAAATACATTACCAAAAAAAAAACAAGAATATACACCAGAAATAGCAAATGAAATTCAAAATCAATGGATAAATGAATATAATCTACCTGAAAAACATTTACCATATGAACCACGTTTTAATAATGAACAATCAATGAATCTTTATCAAGAACATTTAACAATAATGGAACGTATTATGAAAATACAAAAAGATATAACTGAATTAAAACAAAAACAAGCAACATTTGATCATTATGAAGATGTATTATATGAAAATGATCAATTACAAAAAAAAATTGACGAATTACGATCAAAGACAGTTACGTAAAAAGAAAAAAAAGGTAAATAAGTTTTGTATACAGTGATAGTACATGTGCTATTTTATTCTTATATCTATTTTTTTTTTGTTTCTTTGTTTTTTGTTTTTTATTTTTATTAAATATCTTCTCTATTTTACTGTATGGTTTTGTTTTCTTTGCTAAAGAAAAAAAAAAAAAAAAAAATTGAGAAAGCTTTACATATGGGACTTATAAAGCATATACTATTCATTGTTCTTTTTCTTTCTTCTTTTTGTTTTTATTTGGTTATGGAAGAAAACAAAAGATTAATATTAATAAGGTTCTTTTCTTTTTTTTTTCTCCTGTTTTTGTATTTTCATCTTTTATAATTCGACGAATAATGGGTCGGGTAAGATTGTTTATTTCAGAAATTCTATAATTTTATTTAAATAAAAAAAATGAATCTATATCTTTTTAAATGTTTGGTAAGCGTTTTTGAATATTTTTTTTTTGTATAGGAAATTTAATTGTTATATTTGATTTATTAAGGTTGAAATTGAAAAACCAAGATTGATTTTTATCAAAAGATAAACAGTAAGTCATATAATTATAACAAAAATTCTTAACTATACTTATCAATAGTTTTTATTATAGTACAGACAATTATGTGTATTCACTCATGTCAACTTATTTTTTTTTAATCTTTTTTCTGAATTATTTTATTATTTTTCGTTTGCTTAAGATTATCTATTTTATTCAATACGCGAATATTCTTCAATTTTTGATTGACTAATTATTTGTATATGAGAACGAATTTAATAAAAAAAAAAAAAAAAATTATGAACAAATAGTTTTGAGAAATATTTGAAACTAGATTATCACTAATAGACAATAAAAAATTATTGAATTGATATAGAAAATAAAAAGAAATCTCCCGAATGATTAATAATTCTCATAAGATATATTATTGATATTATATCAGTCTGTCTAATTGATAGAATAAGTTAAGATATGAGTTTGCGTTTTTAGAAAAAAAAAACAAAGTAACTAAATAACATTCGGTTTTTTTTCTTTTTTTAGTTTGTATTTACAACTACTGGATTTTTTATGGTCGGATCGTTTATTTCTTTCCAATATACTGGTGATCTAAATCTGTCGATGATCTCTTAAACTTCTAATTAATTTTTGTGCAAAATCTTCTATTTTTTTCTTTTATTCTCTTCTAATTTAATCAATATAGATTCAAGTTTGCATCTATATTTATTCTCTTATGTGAGTATTTTTGTCATTAATATAATAATGAACTAAATTAGATAGACAAGTAAAAAAAATTAAGAATTAACAATTCAGACAAATATAAATTATTTATTTTAAAATATTATTTAGTAAGCAAGATCAACAGAAAAATAAAAGTCTATCCTATCTAATGAGTATTGATCAAGTAAAAAAGAATATGATATTCTAATGATTATTTCTCTTGTATAAATGTTTTGCATTTTGCTGGTGTTGCTCTCTTTTTTTGATGTGAAAATTGAAAGAATTTCTAGGAAAATATAGTAAAATTCTCTAAAAATTAAACGATTCTTTTCTTTTCTTTTCTTTTTTTGAAAAAATTCAGAAATTGATTGAAATAATATCAAGATATTAAATGAAAACAAATCTCCTAGTGAAATAAAACATCTTGAATCTTATTGTTTTTATTAACATATACAAAATTAATCACAGAAATAATCAACTTAATTTTTCTTTTAGTAGATAAATTTATCCATGTATGCACATGATATTATTCGAGTGTATTTTAAATGGCTTATAATGAAATTTTGAGGCAAGAAGATTTTTTATTCGTCTTAATTTGTTTACTTCATGAATTGATAAATATTGAAATGTATATGAAAAACTTTCAGAATCAATTGTCCATGCCTTGAAAACAAATGCATTTCTGAATCCAGACTAGATTTTTTTTGAAAATAGAATAAAGAAAATATCTCCATTGAGTCTGTCTTGATCAATGTTTTATCTAGCGTGGAAGCTGAGAGGAGCAGCATTCTTCCGAAGATCGGGTTAGCGTTCCCAGAGTTTGTGATTATTATACCATGTAATATGTGTTTGCACTGCGAAAAAGAGGTATTTGCCTTCTTGGAATTTTAAATCGCCCATTCAGAAGAGAAAATCTCAATAAAACACTAATCTTGATCATACAGATAGGCTTCATTACCTAAACGAGAACTCATCTTGAAATAACCTTGGCTAAACACTGATGTAATTGGTCCTCAAGTTTCATATATTAAATCAAGTCATCGAACATTTTTATAAAATCTTGAATTAATGAAAACTTCTAAATATATTATTTTCAAAAAAAAAAAAGAACAAATCTTTCGAGAATGAAATGATTTGTATTCTTCATTTTATGTTTCTATACAGATCCAGATTATCAATTGAAATCAATTTAAAAGTTCTCATTTAAATAATCATTAATTTATTTCAATGAATTATATATATATATATTTTTTTTTTGTCAATTTAAATAAGATTTAATAAATTGACCATATCAATATTTAATTTTTATGTTCAATTAAGTTTTTTTTTTCTTTTTATTTCTCTATTATTCAAGATAATATTTTTTTTCTATTTTGATTTGCCAATTTGTGTATCTTTCTAAAGGGGGCTAGTTGTATATTGGCGTAAAATTGAATTTATTTGGAATATTTATTAAGGTAAATAAATTTTGAAATGAGAAAATTTTTTTTTTTTTATTTTTAAAAATCCATTGATTAATTCTAGTCTTCCCCTTGTTTAAATAAAATAATTATATAAATAATGGCGGTGAAAGATGATTATCAAGATTTTAAAAATGCTTTAAATGATTTAAAAATAAATAGTAAACCATTAATTAATTTTTTAACAATACTTGCTGAAGAAAAAATTCATAATGCACCACAAATTGTACGTGCCATTGAAGAACGTATACTTGAAGTTTGTATTTAATTATTTTATTTTTTATAGAATATATCAAAAAAAATTTTTTTTTCATTTTAGACTAAAGGTGATTATGTTTTACCTGTACTATATGTACTTGATTCCATAATAAAAAATTTACGTTCATCAACTTATATTCAATTATTTGAAAATAAATTACCTGTTATTTTTGCTAGTGCCTTCAATAAGGTTTGTAACAACAACAACAAAAGAAAACGAAGAGATTTTTATTTGTTTCAAATGATTTTATATTCATTAGGTCGATGAACGTACACGTTTAGCGATGTTTAAACTTCGTCAAACATGGCCACCATATTTTACTAGTACAGCATTATATAATCTCGATACAAGAACACACTATATCGATCCAGCATGGCCAATAACAGCTCGAGCACCTGATTCATCCTCATCTGCACCAAATATTCATATTAATCCAGATTTTATTCAACGAGTATGTAACTGTTATTAAACACATTGTATTTTCTCTATTCATAATCAATTTTTGTGAAATATGATCTTAAAGGAGTGTTAAAGTAAAGTGGTAAAAATTTGGACCCTACAGATCATGACAGACACTAGACAGTGACCATCACAGACTGACAGACACCGTAGCAGCGTTCTCCTTCTCCCGCGCGATACACCGCAACAAACATGGATATACGATCATTGATCGTATATCAATAACATCTCGTTATAATATATAAACTATTTCTTTATTGCATTTCTGGAGTATTATGTAAAAGAATGGTGAAGAAATGTGTCCCAAAATTGATAGAATAAAACAATCTCTATGTAATTAGTAACAACAGTTACATCGTGTTTCATATTTCAATCCTGGAGGAATTGTGATAATAGTTAATGTTTGTTTTTTAAGAATAAAACAGTTTCGACACAACCTGTCAATCAACAAAAATTACCTTTAAAACAGGAAGATAATGATCGAATTATAAATCAAACAACTACAAAAAATTCTGATATACCATTAAGAGATGATACATATCATATGATACCAATTGATCGAAAAGAACAAAATCGACAAGAAATAGAACAAATAACAAATAAAGACAATGATGATGAACAACAATCAAAAATAAAAATTCTTAATGTAAAAAAAGAAAATGAAGGAAAAATTTCTACAAATAATAATCAAGAAATTTCATCTGAAGAAATATCTAATAATAAATTATCTGATGATAAAAATATTTATGCTACAAATAATACTACTGAAAATGATGAGTAAGTTTTACATAAATCATATATTTATTTTAAATCAATATGATTTCTCTTTTTTTTTTTTTTTTTTGAATTTTAGAGAAGTATTATTTGGTGGTAGTGATATAGATTATCGAGATACAGATGTAACTATACAACAAAAACCTACAACAACAAATCTTGATACGGATCGTTTATTTGAATTAAATTCAAAATGTTTGTCACTTGCTGAACAAAAATTTAAATCAAAAGAACTTTCTTCAGAAGAATATCAAGCAACACTTAAATTACTTCAAAATATACTTCAAAATGAAGTTCAAAGACTTACTGTACCATCAACGTTAGTAGTTAGTTTATTATATAAATAAATAGGAAATAAAAAAAAAGAGAGAAAAATTTCATCTTATTAAGATATGTTTGAAATATAATAGTTTTAAAATGAAGAGAAAGAAAAACAAAAGTCTTTCAATGAGTATTAAAATTTTTTCGTTTTTAGTACAACTTCATCATTAATCAATAGTAGTAATCATTCAGTTACAACTACTCTAGCAAATACAATTCCATCTATTACTACTACAACATCAAGTAATCCATTTCAACAAGCAACACTTCCGTTTCAACAACAACAACAACAACAACAACCTTCTCTTCAATTTCCAACAACAACATCAACATTTCCATTTGCAGGTTTTGGTAATGATACTCAACGTCATGCAATGCAAATTTTAGCTGCTGTTGGCGCTTTATCATCTTATGCATCACAAAATAATATGTTATCTTATATTCCACCATTACCACCAGCTCCACCACCATTTACACTTGTTCCAAATACATTTCCATCACAAGTCTCATCGTCAACAACTGGTCGTCTTAGTCCATCAATAAAACGTCCACATGATGAAAATAGTAATAATAATAATAATAATAATAATACTAATAATATTCATTCTGATGATAATAATAAACGAAAATGTTACGCTTCAACAACGGCTCATACAATACGTTCACATAATTTTGATGATGAAAATATTGCACTTGTACCATCACTTATTGATGCTAATATTAATACATTAAAAAAGTAATGAAATATTTTCAATAAGAATTTTTCTGTTTATTATTATTATTATTTTGTTTTTTTGTTTTTGTAAATAGAAGATATAGTGGTGTTATTCAACAATTATATTTTGGTAAATATCAATGTCGTTTATGTGGACTTCGTTTTACAGCTAAACAAAAACATTTATATACTCATCATCTTGATTGGCATTATTGGGAAAATCGACAAGCAACAACACCAACTGCATTATTAGAACGTTGTAGAGAGTGGTATCCATCTTTACAAGAATGGACAATTCATGAAGAAAATCTTGATGAACGAATACGAAAGAGTCAAATGATGTTAACACAAAATCGTCAAACTAAAGAAATAGACACAAAATCATCATTATCATCATCAGATGCTACTTCTTGTTCAGCAAAAGGCAATGGTGATATCGATGATGATGTAAGTTGAAAAGAAAGAATAATAAAAGATGAACCGAAAATTTTTAGACAAAATATTTGAATATTTTTTGCGTATTATCTTCTCCCTGATAATTGAATTTTTTAGTATTTATATCCATAATAATAACTAAGTTTAGTATGGCCAATATTTTGCTTTCGCCGTCATAGCGATGTGTCCGTTCCGAGTTAGAAAAGTCTTGAAAAACAACTAATAGGAAACAATAATGTATTGAAAACATATTTTGGGGTCACTTCAGTGCTCTTTTATAGTATAATCAGGAAAAAAACCGTTCTCATGGTTATAGGACCTAATTGATGTAATGCATATTCGCACGGATCACACATTCTTTTTGAAATTCAGAAACATTTTTATCATAAAACAGCACATTCATAATTGAAAAAACATATCTTCAGATATATACACGTCTCGAAAAGATTCACAGGCATTTTTCGAAACATGCAAAAAAAAATGTGTACTCAAATGCTGTTTTTCTATGAAATGTTTCTTTGCAGACAAACCGTATTCATTCAAGTTAGCTTGGGACTAATGAGTATGCTAGTGATATATTTCACTGTGAACGAATTCCTTCTATACTATTTTAACTAAATGTTGTCAATGATAGATCTTATCCTTTAGAAAAAAGAGAGGTCTATTAGACGTTGTACCCAGATGTTAAGGTATATTAACCTGTATTGTTCGATGAATATTCTTCTTACCAACGATTATATCCCTTTTTCTTTTTCATTCTATGCATGCGAGATAAGTGAAATAAGTGACGGAAAAATGGAGAGTTGTGGTGAATCCACTAGAAAATGACAGAGTTGTGACGGAAGATTATTTTGCGTTGAAAAGGCGAAAATCGCAAAAAAAAATAAACATTTTTCTTGTGATAGACTTTGTAAAAGTCTTTACTGTACCTCAACAGTTCGCCAAAAATTTACTGCTTTATAGAATATTATTTTCTATCTCTTTCAATATATATGCGATAAAATCTTGTGTTATATCTGGAACAAAGATCCGCATAACTGTTATTTATTTATTTTTTCATGAACGTATAAACAATGCATCGTTTACTTGTTGTGGATTTAATCGAGTGTGTCTGGAGCTGACCATCGAACCATCAGCACACTAAATTGGCCTTCGACATTAGCTGTAGTTACTGGAATTGAATAAAGTAATCGAGCAAGTTTTGATAAGACAGGATGAATGAATGATCAAAGTTTACACTGTCTCGTATTCGCCTCGCTGTCGAAAATCTTGCGTCGCCCCGTGGTGAGACGGTATAACTCAGCAGTTTGCAGATTTTTGGTCAAGAGCAAGTTCCATTTGAGGTTTTTCTTTCCCCAAAAAATTTGAGCCCTTTTAAGATTCACTTATAGCTCAATAACAAAAATCACAGAAAAAAATCGAAACATATATTCTGAAAGAGTACAAAATTCGGATTCAAATACATTATTTCTCATTCTTTTCCAATGCATTTAAATATACGAAGAATCAGTCAAATATTTTGTCTAGAAACTTTTGATCCATCCGTTAAATGATATGTTTTTTTTTGTGTGTTTTTATTTAATACGAAATTTTAATTTTCTAGCGTTGTTATGTATGTCATGATCCATTTGAAAATTTTTTTGATGATAATCGTGAAGAATGGCGTTTAAAAGATGCTATGCGAGCCGATGGAAAAACTTATCATCCAATCTGTTATCAAGATGCTCAAAATCAGGTAATAAAAGAATATTAATTTGAAAATTTATTGTTTTTTTTTTTTCTCTAAATAGGAAACACATGAAAAACTATCAATATCATCTAATAATGATCATACGACATTACATGAAACTATTGCAGATGAAACAAGTAATAATTCAACAGATTCACAAATGTTTGATAATGCAATGGCTACTGTTAATATTAAATCAGAAAATGAAGATCGAGCTGATAAAGATTTATTATCATCATCATTATCATCTGACGACGAAGATTCAACGAAACCAAATTATCTTTCATCAATGTCATTTGTTAATCTTGTCGAAACAATATTCGTTAGAAAAGAAGATCTTAAACCAATAGAAAATATTGAACCTGTTACAATAGATGTTAAAGAAGAATCATTAGATACAACAACAATATCTGAAGAAATTCCATTTCTATCAATAAAACCTGAAAATGAATGTGAATTTTTAATTAATAAAAATTCCGATGGAATTGGAACGATTTCAGATTAATATTTTCTTCATTTCTCATTCGGATTTCTACGAGTTTATTTTCGCCTCTAATGTATGTGTGTTTCTTCATGTGCTCTTATTTTTAAAATTGTGCGTGGTATTTGTACGTACATAAGACTCAAAAATAAAGAATATATATGTATACAAAACAGAAAAATGTCGGAATCATATATTACAAGTTTTGTTAATCGGATTTTTTTTTTAAGGTTTTCAATCGATCTTTTTGAAAAGTAACATACTCTATGAGGTGAATATATTGAATTTTCAATTATCAGATGTGCTTCCCAACCGACAATGGAAGATCTACAAATCTACGCAAGCTTCAGATGTTTAGATTTAGTTATTCAGGAGTCACGGGTAGACATCGGCGTGACCAAAATGTCGTGGCCAAAGAAAAAAAAAGTTATTCGATTATAGTTTCAATAGTAAATGTGAGAACCGAAATCTATTTAACTATTCTTGTTCAGAAGTTTCTTCTCTTCAAAATGGTATATAAATGTCGAAGAATCTGATGATCCATAACAGAGAAAATCATATAACATTAGTCGTGACCAATTCTGGTCACGGTCAGTCACGACGTTTTCTGGTCACGGCTAATGTGATGCAAGTTTCTCTGTTATGGGTCATCAGATTCTTCGACTTTTATACATAATTTTGAAGAGAAGAAAATTCTGAACAAGAATAGTTAAATAGGTTTCGGTTCTCACATTTATTATTAAAACTATAATCGAATAACTTTTTTTTTCTTTGGTCACGACATTTTGGTCACGCCGATGTCTAGTCACGGATATTCTACTCTAAATTCTCGGTTGATTTTTAAGTAATTGCTCTGACAGAAAGTCACATTTTCTTTTTTTTTCTTATATTAAAAGGAACCCTTTTTCTAGCACTTTCTTTTTTTTTATAAATTTGATTTAAAATTCATCAGAAGACATTTTAAGAGAGTCGGTAATATGTGATTCGATGCGACTGTACCTCCTCTTTTCAATTGTGAAAATCGCAATGTTTTATCATGCTTCTGTCAAAATATATTTACCCGACTTTTTTCTGAAATGAGCATTAGTATATGAAAAAAAAAAGTTGTAAAAGGATTCTGCTATAATAAACACTATGTAAAACTGTTATATGATATTCAAAAGAAAAGGTTACAGACAATAGAAAATGTCGAGTAATATATTTGCTAAATATCTTTTTCTTTTGTATTTCTATATAAAACAATTGAATGATGGCGAAGAGTATCAACTAAGAAGATTTGTCTTGTTTATTACGGGATTATTTTTGTAAGTAACTAGAAAAAAGGATGTACAGCAACGCTTCGCATGAGATGGGACGATTCCATCCCATGCGAAGCTTTCAAAAATATTCTATTCCATGTGACAAACGTCTTTTACAACAATTTTCTTTTGATAAAGACAACGCAATTGTTTCGAAATAGATATCGTTCACGCCGTAATATGAACTTAGTTATAATAAAATTGTGAAATACAAAATGAAATGATGTAAAATTTAGTAATCGTGGGAGGATCGAAAGTTTAGAGACAGAATGTGCCTTCATATTTTGACTGCTCCAAAGATCCAGCGAAAATTTCAAAACCTTCGATTAGAATCAGAATTTTATGATCTTTCCAAATCTAGATTCAGAATTTTTATGGGACCCATAGGTTAGGATTTGTGAGCTAATCTTTGAGAGATCTGAAAATAAAGTTTACCGGGAGAAAGTTACACTAACAGATTTGAAGACGAAGAATACAACCGTATCTTGTTTGAAATTAGTTTCATGATAATTTTTAGCGATTTTTTTTTTGATACTTTAGTATTTCTGTCGTGAAGACGCTCATTTGACTTAGTCCTACTTCCTTTTGTTTGACTACATCAAGTTTTGAAGGTTTTTTGGATCAGCACTTAAACAGTAGATATCTCCTATAGCATACATTTTATTAGCAATTGTTTTGGACAGCATGAAGAGCAACACTGTGCTAAGAACCAAAGATCTTACAGTAATTCTCCAGAAATGAACGAGTTCATTTTGTAACTGTGGTAATCAAGGAATTGCAAAAGTGTCACTGTGACTCTTGCCAAAGCTCTCGTTATTGATAGATGCCCTACGAAAAACTAATGATCTGGATATTATTCTGTAGAGAAACGTTTACTCTTCTGTTTAATGTTTTTGAAATAAATTTTAATTCTATTCTAGATGGCTTTTGCACACTAAAATCCGTTCAAAATTTATTTTCAAACCTTTCAAATACTGAGACGAAATATTTGGGAATAATCCTATTCCACATGGAACAAAATTTCTCTATAAATTCGATATCAAATCAGAGTATTATGAAGAAAAATTCAATTAAAAAAGATATTTATCATCAACATATGACAACATTAATAAATAATGTACATAGTCTTATCATTCATATGCATCGAAATATAACTAATTTTTATGCAAAAATCTTAACTTTTATTCATTTCAAAAAAGAAAAGGAATCCAGGCGTTTCTTTTTTTGTAAATAGATCTGACAATATGAAGAGTTATCTATAAATGATTTCATTTCTTTGCAAATATATATATTGCGAATATCTACATACTGTTGAAAAACATTTTTCAGTTCTATTAGAATCAACAGAGTGGATTCTTGTTTCAAAATGAACATTAGAACAAATTAATTAGTCTATATTACAACTATATGCAACGATATTGAAAAATATGTACAAGATAGATTGTTCAATCTAGCAAGTTGGTCATCTCTGTTTTCTATCATCATCTATCGTCATTAATCACGATTGGTAGACATTCTTTAGTTAATGGAGGTTCGCTTTTAATTATATATCAGTTGAACTTGTATACAAGGTTCTTTTTCTTTTCTGTTAGAATCGCATCCACCCTTGTTTTATCTTCAAAAGCTTTGTTTTTCATTTTTTTTTTGTCTTAGAATAAATTCTTTGTTAGTCTATGTAGTTCTTTTTTCTCAGGTAAATATTCTTTATTATTTAAATTTAATATGTTGAATCGTTTCAAAAAAAAAGAAAAGAAAAGAATAGATTTTTATTAAACTAGAAAAAAAAAATTGTACGACTTGTAAATTAATCTTTAAAACATATTATTGAAATAGACTTAATATTACTAAATGATGTTCAGATAAATTGGTTTTTTCTTTTATATTTATCTATGAAATTTTTGAAAATATGTAAGAAAGAAATATACATAGATTCGATTTTTTTTTGTATTGTGAAAGGTAATTATATGATTAAGTATTCATTGTGTCATATACAATTATCTTTTGAAATATTGAATGTTCTTAAAAAGGAATTATCTACTGCGATCATATAAAAACTAGGAAGTTTTTTCAATAAAATACTACAGAAAAAAAAACTTAATCGAAATTTCCATTAATCTCTATTTCTGTATGTTAACAATGTATTTATTTTAATAATATTATTGTTCGTATATTTGAGAATATTATTGAGGAAATTTTCTTCATTAAAATGAATGTTGTTTGATTAACCAAAAAAAAAAAAAAAACAAAGCAATAAAATATATTATTATAAACCATAAAATTGGTAATAATTCTATTGATTTATTTATTTGAATAGGACATTTTTCTTTATTAGTCTACATTTACTTGACTGCACATTTTAACTTAATTATAGTCTGTCAGTAGAAATATTTACATATGAATATTTATGTATTCATTTATCGATCCACATCTTAATCAGTATAAAATAAAGGAACTGGCATTCTTCATCATTTTTTCTTGTTGTCTGCTTATCTGCCATCAACATTTTTTTTAATCTTTGTATGTATATTTATTATTAATGCATAAATAGAACAAGAACTATTTTAATATTTGTAGATTCATCAAAATATTCAAAGGAAAAGATTTTCTAATTAATTATCCATGAAAAAAGTTTTCTAACGTTTAACTTCCTTTCTTTGTTTTTTTTTTTTACCATCATCTATATAAAAGAAATTAAACTTATAAGTGAAAACAGAAATTTTTATTCAGTATTCATGTAATCATAATGATAATCAAGTTACATGAGGGATTCTTCATATTATCTCATGCATAAGCAATTTTTTTTTTTTATTAAGAATAGTATAGTTCTAATGACGCCTTTTTTTTTATAATAGCTTATATTTCGATGAAGCGCTAGAATCAGAGAGAAGAATAACAACTGACGCACTTGAGTCATTTAGAAAAAAAAAAACCAGACATAATTGTCGTCGTTGCCCACACTTGTAGTTATTTTTACTCCTAATGTGACATTCTTTATTTCTTTTTTTTTTCTATGTATATAATTGTTTTTAAGCACGATTATTTACCTTGAGTCTGAATAACATGATTGTGATGCAACAGTGTTGTCATGTATACAGTTGACATTGCATCATCTTATATAGAAACAAAGCATTCTCGAGTATATAACATGTAGAATTGTCTATTGAATTATTATATATTCTAGAGCTACATTTCATCATGACAAAAACTAAAGACGTATATACAGTTAATGAAAGTGGTGAACTGAAAGGTATGAAAAATAAAATAAAATGTTCATTTGAAAAAAAAAAAAATTTAATCGATTTTTTTTTTCTTTATTTTTTTTTTAAATATTAGCTCCACTAGTATGTTCACATCGTCTTCTTCTTGCTTTTTTGGCATTTCTTGGATTTTTTCTCTGCTATGCTCAACGGAATGGACTTTCGTATGATTTATTAATTATAATGATAAATGAATATTTTCTTTTTTTTTTTAATTCTTCTATTATAGCGTTGGCATTGTTTGTATGGTTAATCCAGATGCTGATAATATGACTTTATTCGATAGTAGTGATACTCCTATAATTGAACGTGATATTCCAGCAGCATGTCATAAACATACAGTACAAAAGAGTCGATCTGTATGAATGAATTGTTTTTTTTTTTCTTAATTATAATTATTATATATACAATAGGAAAGTCAAGTTCTCTTTTGGCCTAAATCAACACGTGGTGTTATTCTTGGTTCATT